AACTCCCACAAGCTCCACAGAGCTAGCTTTCGTGACATCCACACGCAGGTGTGAGTGATTGGGTCGGCTTCTTAAATGAGAACGTTGCCCCTTGCACGCATCCATGCAGAGAAGTATATTCGTTTTGAGACGTACATAGACATGCGAAGGCGAAGGCAATCCTTGGGTACTTATGCATGCATGTGTACAAACACCTATGGAACCGCGTGTGTAGATCCACGCACACACAAAATCACACAAACACACGACATGAATATTCTGTACACATATGCGGGTATAAAATGTTCATGCACGTATGTTCGTTGTGCACACTTTAGTATTGCTTTGTCGGCGAGTCGTGGTAACCGTGGCCAGCCCTGGCCCGTGTCTTCCAACATTCTTGTAACATCTTGTAGCTCGTGATGCAGAAAGGTCTTGATGCATACGAGAATGCAAACTGTCGTATACCAAACGCAGTACCATTGTCAATGTTTCCCACTACTGGTTGCCGTGACTATTATACCAGAAAACGCAATTTCAACGCCTTTCAAAATCGCCCACGAATCCCGGCGATGGCACGCATTTCAATGTGCGACACTCCAACATACATACATACATACATACATACATACATACATACATATCTCTCTCCGGATCTATCTAGAAAAGCATGCATGTATGGGGTATGCGGTATGCATGTATATATGTACAGGTGTATGTAAGTAAACGACGAAAACACCATACACGTAGAGAGTAGAGAGACATGCGCACATTCATTGTACTGACAAACATGCAAGTGATCGACTCGCTTACGGTATTGTGCAATTCTTGCATGTCAAACAGAACTCCCCACTTTCGACCGGCTTTGGGCCGCGGCATGCCGCTAGCTGGCCTGTTTCACCTCCCGGCGCGATTGGGGCGAACGCAGCGGCGAACTGTCGCCTTTGCATCATCGTGGCAGTTCTTCATCGATACATGCACAGGCATCCCAAGGATGCGAACCTTTTCCACAAGAATCGCTGAACAAGCAGCTCCAAATATTGCGTCAGTCCCTGGCCGTGATCTTTCAGCTCGCTGACGGAGGCAGCTTTCCACCAGGACTGCGAGAAAGGTCCAATTGCGCAGTGTTCACATCAGTGGCGGCTTCTTGCTCCGTCCGAAGATTTACCGGACCCTTAGAAGCCTCATCTAAGTAAATTGCAATGGCTTAGCCAGTAAAGCGCTCGCTAGGCCAGTAAAATCTCTCAACTTTTGATATCAGCGTGGTCCTCTCGCTCTCTGCGAGGCGTCTCCTGGCGCAAGGACCTGCCAGGGGTCGGGATCATCGATGTGAGTGTGCTAGCGGCTAGCGGTCAGGTTGTCAGAAAACGATGTTTGAGGCGCCGGTTCTGCTGGTGGATGCCTTCCTGGGGGCAAATATACTGCTTCAGGTGTGAAGTGTGAAGCTTTCTTGCTTTTGCTCTAGGAAGCACTGAGTGGGGCGTAGATGGAAAACGACTCCGATGGGCCAATCAATAAGCCGTGTCGAGAAACACATGTCGAGCAAGAAGCAACATGAAATGAAGCTGCCAACCGCGAGCAACAACCTGACTTGTACTATGCCGTGTGCCATCGTCAGCACGACATGTCACAGGCAGGAGAAAGACACAAAGCAACCATCTGATATTGAACGAGTTGCGCCACTGAAGCCGAATCTTCGGAGGCGACGGTTGCAACCCGCACCTGTCCGATCCCCCCCGGCTGACGAGCTTGGCTGTGAGATCGAACTTTAGTGCTGCCACGGGGCATCTAGTGTACTATGCGCTCGTTCCTATCAGCGAAGTTTTTGGACGAAGTTTTAGAACACCTTCGAATAGAGACTTGACATTCTTCACTGTTGGGACTTGTGTTGAGGAGAGCTTGCGCTGCACACGCCCCCATTCTTGCCTCAGACTGAACGTCGAATTCGTGTCCCGCGAAACGGCGTGTCCAATGGAATCCAGTGGATTTACTGTAAGAACTGCTAGCAGATTCTAGCAACTTTGTCGGAGCGTGCTCCATTTTGGCCATCGATTGCAGCCGCTTTGGGCAGTAGCATTCTGGGCAGTCGCTCAAGGCTCCACCCTAGTTCTTTTGTGGAGCATAAGTTAGCGCTGCATCCAGTGCATGAGGACCCGTAGTGCTTGCTGCCTCCGCCTCCACTGCACTATGCAGTATTGCGGACATCCCATCCAAGTCCCTCGAAATCCTAAGTCCGATCAGAGCAGACACGGAAGCTCGGGATACTTCGCTCGAAGCTCCTCGCCGGTGGCGAAGAGCTTCCCCTGAGCCAGGCTTCGAGTTTCAGGGTAGATGATTCTGAGATGATGAATCATGAGTTTCTCTTCGGCGGAGATTTGAACAGCGGCTGGTCGTTGAGGCGTACGTGGCTATCAACCGACATTGAACAAATGGCTGACTTCGTCTTCGCCTGGTAGATGATGATCTTGGTGGGGTATAGGCCTTTCTGGTACCGGTCATTGATTCGGTCGATCCACCTGCAGCATGGTTGACAACACAGGCCCGCCAGATCGCCGTGACCGTAACAAGAAGCCCGGACTCCATGTCCAGCCTCTTGGTCTCGACCGGGTCTTTGGCATTGTGCGCAGTGAAATGCGCCTGCCATCAAATCGCCGGATCCAGCGATCGAGGTGGAGTTCTTGACAATGGCTGAAGGACAGGTGGGAGCTTCATAGTTGCTACTCGAGAATGGGAAGCTAGATTACTAGATCTTACGACCTCTCTGCGAAATTCGAACAGCAAAAGGCCCGTGCCTTGGCAGCCCCTTTGGGGTAGAAGCGCATATCAGCCATGATGTTGGAACAGCCAGTGCCGGAGGGGCACTTATTGGCATTTCCCGGGTTCCAACGGATCATCCTGGGCTGGGAAAGTGCGGATGAAGCAAGAGCAAAGGTCCCAGTGGTCCAGGATCCCTCTGCAGAGCGGCTCAGCCAAAGACAAGAGTGCAATTCTGTGACGAGAAACTAAGCAACACGAGAAACAGTAGTCATCATGTTCAGAGCCGTGCCAACAGCAGCGGGTCGCAACCACGGAAATGGTTGTGGAAGTAATCTCGCTAGTAGCTTGGCCACATTGACAACAGCGACATTCTTCCGGCCACCGCCCCCACGGGAAACGAAACAAAATATTAATGCTGATGAGTGCAGCTGCGGCAACAGAGGCAGATAGTGATACTACGACGAGGACGGAGTCGACGACGACTGACTGCTGCTGCTACTCCTGTGTCATGGTGGCCTATGTGTCTTCATCACTCCCCACCACCATCACCAGTGTCATAACTCATTATATGTGCTTGCGTGATATGTTGATCATGTCTGTCGGTCCGTCCCCGGCTGTCTGTCAGCATGTGTGTACGAAGTTTCGCATGTATGTAGCTAGCTAAATAGATTGATAAATAAACGCATACATATGTTGTTTTCTGATTCTTGCATGTGAAAGATGCACATTTCCAACGATCCATTTTTCTGTCGGCATGTCCGACTGCCTATATAGGTATGTTTATGCACAACTGATGCAAAGGTGAAGCCAAATCAACAGATCTGATGCCCTGAGCAGTCTCTGTTTATCGATCCAGGAGGCTCCTCGAACTCGGTTCGGTCCTGGGGTGAGTCCACGACCGAAGACATTGACATGCCGAGCTGGGCTTAGGGCTTGCACCTGAATGAAGCCCGCACTGAACCGGAATTCTAGCGAACACACGAAGCACAGCTAAGAGCAGGCAGCCAGGAGTCGTTGTCGAACTTGCACCACTGCTTCGTGACCTGGCGAGTTTTCCAAGTCATTTGCGCTTGCAGCTCTGCTACTGACAGACAAGCTCAAATGCAAACATCTTGCAGGCCTTGTCCTCCCAAGCAGCCACATTCAGCATGTCTTCGTCCTGTCATGGCCACTGTAGTGTCACGCGAGAACTGCTGCAGACAATACCCGCTCGCTAAGATTCTGCGCTTCGCCGCAGCACAGCTTTCCACTTGCTCAGCCTACGGGAAGATAGACACCCTTGAAGGTACAAGTTACGCGTCTGAGATGTGGTGTGCACCAGTGTCAACCTTGCACATCCTCTTGTCGGCGCCCGTTGTTCTGGACAGGGCTAATGGCGGTCCTCCGGAATGTCAGCAACCCGAAGTGCACCCATGTTTGGCGCCTCCTGCAACAACTGCGCAGGAGCAATCCAGCTTACACGCTCGACACACCTTGGAGTACGAGCGAACGAAGGCAGCCTAATTTCTGAAACTGGTGCAACTTGAAGCCGCACAACCGGTTCCCAAGTCCGGCAGTGTCTCATCCCGGAGAATCCTTCGGAGCCAGGTGCCTGGGACAGCGCAGTTCTCAGGTCAAGGTGTGTCTCTGCAATGCTCTGCTTTGGAGTCGCCTATCCACGGAAGAGCCCAGAACGTCCAGGTCGGATGAGCGTGACTCCAGCGCATGGAGTGTCGCTCGCAATGCGGTGGATCCGTGCAGAAGCGGCCTGTCAAAGTGCAGAGTGCAGAGCTGCAGTGCAAATTTCAGCTGAAGTTTCCGGCCTGTTGTCGAACTGTGGCTGGCTGCTCGGTTGCTATTTTTTGGCCAAACCACCCCATAAAGCTCTCACCTTTCGCCGAAACGCTAAGGCGCAGGCGCCACCAGATATTGGAAGGTGCATCTTTCTGCGTGAAACCTAGCGCGGACGTTGTAGGAATGTGGAAGCATGGCAGCGAGTTAATGAGCTGTTTCAGCGGAGCGCTGGCATGCGTTAACTTATCGTGACCAAATCCACAAACAAAAAGGCTGGCGGAGATGGCTTGAGGAAACAGCGCACCGCGCATTGCAAGCTGCAGTTGGAATTGCATTTTGAATTGGGGTAATCGGAAGAGTCAGGTTCCACACCGCGTCCAACCTATCATTACAGCGAATGACACACGTCATGCTCGAATGACGATGCTGCGCTGGTGGCTGAAGTAATGCACCGGCAGGATGGGGATCGGGTAGTCCTTCGTGATCTCCCTCTGGGTCATGTTGAACATGTAGTCCACGCCTGGGGCGCAAAAAATCAGCTGCACAAGCAAGTCAAGGACCGCCTGTTTCTCATCCGCAACAAAAAAGAGCTTTGCAAGGTGCCAGCGTGGCCTGGAGCCACAAACTGATCCGAGTCCAGCTCCACGCCCACGCGCACGCGTGCCAGAAGAAAGGAGCGGATCTTGTTGAAATTGAAGCCTTGTGACACAGTTGCACAGGCCAGCTGCACAGTTTCCGTTCTAGATCCCCCTATCGTACATCGATCGAGAAACACATGCCCTATCGACCCTTCCCAATCCTTCCCAACATGCTGGCCGGCGACTCCGAGGCACAGCTGGACCCAAAGGAGATACATGCCTTCCACCAAACAGACTCAGGTGTTCACTCTAGGAATCAACTCTTCCTGGGCAGCTGTCAGAACATCTCAGTCTGACAAGCTCTGCCAAATCTCTCTCAGGCAGTGACATGAGCAGTAGTCGCGGAAAGCGGCTGGCAGTCCAATCGTCCTGGATTCAGGCGAACCGGGTGAGGTAGGAAGGGCACCATGATCTTCACCCGGCTTGATGCTCTAGTTCCCTCCTCTTTTGCGTCTAGCTGAATCTAGCTGACACGACTGGAAAGGCTGTTTTGCGTCTTAGCCAGGATACGGGAGTTAGGCTGCCGAGGTGGAAGACGATGATCGGTTCGTTGGAAAAGAGGTGCACGGACCGAACCAACTCTTCGCCTTGCTTCTGGGCAATAGCAATCGTTGCAAGGAATGCTCATTACGGAGGCCCGCAACTGCGCAGTGAGGTCCCTGCTCATCTTTGTGTGCTTGCCGTCTGGTGCACCTGCATAGTAGTTGACCTGGGATGTTGCTTCTGGTTTGGCCGCAGAGTGCCAAAGAGCTTGTATCAAGAGATTACTGATAAAGCAACGTCTGTCAACCGCAAGCACATGGCTCGTAATGATGGGAATTGCATTGAAGAAGCTATCTGCTCAAGGCAGGTAGGCCGACCGTCATGTGTGCAAGTCGCCAGTGTTTTCTAGCTGACTTGCTTTCCGGGCTGCAAATGCTCTCTCAATCCAGCCGTCTTTATCCTTAGGCAAGGCCACATGCTTAGCCAAAAATCGGACACACGTCTGTGGACTCCAGTTTCTCTGCACAGGAGGGTGGCCTTTGTCATAAGGCTATAGTACCATGTTTCGGGCCTGCAGTCTTCCAGCTTAAATCCAGTTGGCGGTGATATTGGCCGCTTCTTGGTTGGATGCTGTCAACTCTAGTGTTTGCAAAGGCTTTCAGCCTCTCTAGCAAGAGGAACATGTTTCGGGGTTGGTTACGCTTGTTGGGATTGGCCAGCCTCGCCTGTCTTGCCAAGACGCGGCAAGCCGCTCGTAGTTCTTGAGGAAGCGGTGATCAATTCGGACCCTCATCAGCCCTTGCAAAGTGCCTGGTCCATGGCAGGACGAAAGCTGGAGTCCACGTGACTCGGGACATGTCGTGCACATCTCAGTTGCCAGTTCATGTCTGGATTGGCTAAGACTGAGAACGACCACATGGACGTGGTCGGCAGGTCACTGAACAGAAAACCAGCGGCTCAGAAGAAGCAGAACAGTTACCCTGCCAAGCCAGTGAAGACGAATACGTAAAGGATTGCAAGCCGGTGGAAATGACACGTGGTTGCGTCAATCACTCTGGCACCAAATGTCAGTAGAATGTCACAGAACCGACCCTGAAATACCGAGATGGCGAAGTCCAGCAAGGGTTCCTAATCAACAGCCTAGTTGCCCAGGTCCACCTGCTTGCTCCCAGCTTGCAGTTTCGGATTGTCGCCTCAGAGACACGTGCGCTGGAACGGCCAAACTGTCACAGTAGCCTCTGAGACTCGTTCTTCCTGAGCTTAAGGCGTAAGGCCCGGGCGTGCTCTTTCATGCCACTGAGGAGAGCAAAACCTTTGCAGCTCTCAGCTCCGTACCCTCATGCCCAGGGCCGTGCCATGCTTAATGTTACAAAGGCTCCGAGTTGAACATGCAGCGACGCATCTCACAAGTCGCTTCCTGCTAGCGCCTCTCAGATGCTGGAGTCCAAGGGGCGCTTCCGTCGCCTGGCCGCGGCGTCTTCTGACACACACACACACACGCACACAGACACAGAGAGACACAGAGACACACACACACACACAGACAGACAGACAGACAGACAGAGCACACACACACACAAAACCCTAAACCCTAAACCCTAAAGGAAGCTCTTTTAGTCTCCTAATCACTATAAGCTCTCACTGAACCCTGACAAACACAACATCACCCAACTCAGCTGTGAAACATAGGACACCCACACCCCAAGCCTCAACAGACTAAACTCATCACAGACCTACTCCGCTCCAAAAGCCTACTCCCTCAACCTGCATGCGCTAAAACCACGCTGCACTTTAAGACCAGCATCTTGAGAAGCCTGAAATGCTAAAGTGCTGAAGCCCTACAACCCCGAAATCCCGCAAACACACACTCTCTAAAGAGAAACTTCATAAAGACCCATTTTAAAAAGAAAAACCCACAAACCCTCGGTCCCCAAAGCCCTTTACCCTACATAGCCCCAAACCCTAAGCCCTAAACCCTAAACCATAAGCCCTAAACCCTGAACCCTACACCCCTGAACCCCACTTGGGTGCCCTGCGGCTGACCGTCCACTCTTGGCCTCTTTGCCCTGGGGCCGGGGAGTCGCAAAGCTTTCTCCGAGGACTTCGGGATAAACGGTTTAGGGTTAGGGTCTAGGGGTTTTAGTTTTTGGGTTTAGGGTTTAAGGTCTAGGGTTTAGGGGTTTTGAGGTTTGCAGGATTTCGGTTCGATTCCTAAATTGGTGTTGAGTGTTTTGTTTTGTAACAAGGGTTTTGCAGAACGGGCTTTAGTGAACATTTTAAGGTTTATATGAAGCGTGTTCTAAGAATTCATGAAAAGGGCTTGGTAGCGTGCTCTTTGGGTATCTTCTATACTATAGCATAAAACTGTGGAGACGATAAGGGGATAGCACTACCGAATACTCAGCCATCCCATGTCAACCCTGTGCAGCTTGCCCCACGCCCACTTTTGATCCCATTTAGGATGTTGGAATCTGGACGACAGCTCCATAGCATTTTATGCCAAAGAGGCGAAGGGCAAAAACGGCCCAGGGTCTCCTTCGTGTTCGGGGAAGTCTGCTTTCGAGGAGCACTCTCCAGGTGTCGGCACCAGCGCCTGGGAGTCGTCCAGGAGTGACCCTCCGTTTAAGGTTCAGGGGCTTAGGGTTTTAGAGTTTAGGGGTTTAGGGTTTAGGGTCTACCACACCACCAACATAGGCAGTGGAAGGCACCAGCTCAAGCAACGCCTCGAAGAGCGGCCCTTGCCATGCCTCCGCCACCGCGATCAGGATACTATAGGGGCCTTAATAAATAGACTTAGGGTTTTGGGACCCATTATACTATGATTCTAATAAGGAACCACCACAATAGTATTGGTAACTGGCAGTTATTTAAGCCCCTAAAGTATCCTCGATCGACTTGCCCAGGCCGAGGAAATCCTTCAGCAACCATGGGAAGAACACGTTGCCGAAGCTGTCCTGTGCCGATATCTAAATAGTAGGATCCTTATTATAAGGACCCCAAAATAAGGTATCCCTAATTTTCGGAAAGTCCCAAATCCCTAAACCCCTAAACCCCTAAACCTCAGATGGCGGTGGACGGACCTCAACCTGGGCCCAAAAGTCACCTGGGGTGCCTCGGGAGATGCAAGATCGTGGCCCTAAATAAACAGAAGAGGGCTTTATTGAGGGGCATATTGACAGTATAACATAGTATTAAGTATACGTACAAAGATACTCTATTTATAAGGAACACCGAACTGTTTGCAATTTGAAGTATAACATGGAATTAAGTATACTATAAGATGCTTCTAGGATGCGGAGGCCAACCCAAACCAACCCTGTCACGACAGCCCGGGAGGTCTCTAGACTCAGATCTCAGGGTTTAGGGTTTGGGGTTTAGGGTTTAGGGTCTAGGGTTTGGGGTTTAGGGTCTAGGGTCTAGGGTTTAGGGTTTCGGGGTCTCTAGGGAGGGTGCTGGCGCTTCAGAGACTACCCAAAGGCTCCATAGTCGTTCCTTTTTTGGGATTACCTTGTAGGATACTAAATCCTAAAAATAAACCACAACAAACTAACTACTGTGGAGCCTATGGGTAGTTAGTAAGGGATTGAAAGCTGGGAAACTTCATCCTAAAACCCCAAACTCCCAAAACCCCAACTTAAAATACCCTAAACCTTGCAACCCTAATCCCTAAAACCCTAAACCCCTAATACCCCAACCTAAAAAAACCCTAAACCCTGCAACCCTAAACCCTAAAAGCCGGATGCCCCCCCCTAGATCTAAAAATAGATCCCCCAAGGGGGTTCCTTTGAAGTATCCCTTAGTAGTATAGTGCCCCAAATTCGGGGATCTACTTTTTAGATCCTTCCTTTACACCCTAAACCCCTACACCCTAAACCCTTAACCAAAGCCCTGAATCCCTTAAAACCCCCCTATGAAGAGGAGGCTGGATCTGAAAAAGGTCTGGGCCCTAAGCCCAGATCCACCCTAAACCCTAAACCCTGAACCCTAAACCCTAAACCCTAAGCCCTAAACCCTAGACCCTAAGCCCTAAACCCTAAACCCTCAGCCCTAAGCCCACCTCGGAGGCTCTGGGAGTCCTTTCATCCTCTCCTCCTCGGGCCGCTTCCGTCCGTAGAGGACGTCCTGGAACACAAACAAGGGTTGAAGGTTCAGGGTTTAGGGTTTAGGGTTCAGGGTTCAGGGTTTAGGGTTTGGCGTGTAGGGTTTAGGGATTGGGGTTTAGGGTTCAGGGTTTAGGGTTTAGGGTTCCAAAACGGCAACAGAAGGAGAGCCCGCGCTTTTTTGGATCCTCCAAGAGTTCGAGAGTTGCCGGCTTATGGGCTTAGGGCTTAGGGTTTAAGGGCGTAGGTTGGCTTGATGGATGCCCCTTTGAAGAAGACCAAGATGGGCTCTGTATTGCACAAACTAAATCAACGTAAAAGTTGCCATAATCTGGTAACTATAGTTATGTAGAGCCGTGACCTAGATCCCCTTTAAGGCTATTGAAACAGGCTGTGGAAATGCAGTGCGGCCAAACACTAGAACACCCTTAATTTAGTAATGTATACCTTCCCCTAAGCCCTAAACCCTAAACCCTAGACCCTAAACCCTAATCCCAATCTGAAACCAAGCTCCTCCACGATGTTCTCGCAGGCATTCGTGGAGCCCTCGAGGTAGGAAAGGAGCTCCTTCCAAGCTCACTCTACACGCAGAACTAACCCACCAAACCCTAAATCCTAGACCCTAACCGGCCCCCCCCTTCCGATCTAGGGGTTAGGGCTTGAGGGTTTAGTGCTTCAGATCTTTGAAGCTTTGGGGTGTCTAGGCTTAGGGTTGCCTCAATGAAAGAGTTCATGGTTTAGGGTTTGGAGTTTAGGGTTCCGGGTTTAGGGCTTAGGGTTTCTGTGGGCAGAAAATGTCGTGCGCCATACTGGCAAGGGTCATGTAGTCCTTGAGGAATCATGGCGGTGATCCTGTGTTATTGTGGAGATGGTGATTGAAAAATCTGGGTCCTTCCCACGAAGAAACGGACAACACGATGCAGGAATGGCCTTTTCAAACAGCAGGAAATCCAAACCCCAAGCAAGCTCTCACAGGTCAGCCCAAGATTATGTTGTAGTGTTTCGTATTGTGGTAGGTCTACAGAATTTGGTGGCTCCCATCCAACAAAGCACGACAGCTTGGGGACAAAAATCCTGAATCACGCCTGGTCGTCATAACTCCTTAAACCCTACAACCTGCGGCCATACCAGAATTCTCATACGGTTGATGATAGAAATCCTGCAGTACCCATAATGAGGAATATACCACAAATCCCATAGTTTAGGGTCCTTAAGGTAATGCAGGATTTCGACCATCAACAGTAGTTTAACTACTTGCAGTGGTGCAAATATGGTCCCGAAACACTGAAGACGAGGTTTCAACAAGTATACGTCTCTTCATAGTTTCAAAAGAAGTGTAATTAGCGGGGCACTGCAAAGGCTGTGAGCTAGAAGTCGATACTATTACGAACTGTTCGAGCGAAAGGGTCGCACTTCTTGAGCCAGCTGAGCACGCGGCCGATCGGGCAAAGAGATCCAGATATTGGTATCTGAGCGGTCAAGGGGCACTACTCCCTTTGGAAATCCCGAGCAGAATCCCGACACAACAAAGCTAACCCTAAACCCTAAACCCTTCAAAAACGGAGCAGAGCCCCAACAAATCTAAGCCTGACAGCCACAAGTACCCGCAGCAAGGTGTTCGCAAATGCGAGTGGGAACCTCCAGTTGCTTCTACAGGAAGATACATTTGCAACTTTGTGTCTTCATGTCGAAA